AGACCCCAACGGCCGTTTTCGCATGCGGTTCCCCGCCCATTACGGCGCACCCCTCACACGCTTCGTTGTCCCATCTGGAACTTCTACTAAGGACCCAATGGCCGTCAACGCATGCGGCTCCTCGCCAATTCCGGCACACCCCTTACACGCGTCGTGACCCCAAGGGGCGCTCCACCTTTGGCCCCACTCCACATATATTGCACCGCATAGGTTGCACCACACAAATTGCTCCACATCTATTGCACCACATTGAACGCACAACTAATACCGCAATACACATCTTGCCCCACACGTATGGCACAACATAACTTGTACTAACTACATAGATCCCACCGTATGATTGGCACATGCATCGCAGAACATGTAATGCTAGAAACCACAACAATTTGAGGTCCACGCTGGCTAATATAAAAAATGCCTCGGGGATCTTCTGACTCGGGGATCTTCTGACCCGGGTCAATCCAGACCCGGGTCAATCAGGCCTGCAAAATCCTGCAAGATCCTGCACCCAAACCCGGGTCAATGCGAAGGATCCTGCAGGATCCTGCAGGATCCTGCACCCTAACCCGGGTCAATGCGACCCTGGCGCTGCAGGATCCTGCAAGATCCGGCGCTCTGGCTGACCCCCGTCTGCACTGACCCCCGTCTCGAGGCTCCCGACTGACCCGGGCCCATCCAGTCCCGGGTCAGTAGGAAACCAAACAACTGCAATGCAGGACAAAAAACTGCAACGCAGGTCTTCGCAAACACGGGTCAGCCAATATGCGCGGCCGCCTCGCGGCCACAAACGGCTCGCTAACCCGGGTCAGCCAGAGGGGGTCTTCGCAGGATCCTGCAGGATCCTGTGCCCTAGCTGACCCCCCTGTGCCGGGGCTCAAGAGACGGGGGTCAATGATTGACCCCCGTCTCTCGAGCCCCGAATGCCAGCATCGGAAGCTCGTCTGGTCAAGGACGGGGATACGCCACGCTTGCACGGTATCCGATTTGCAAGGGGAAGGAGGAGGAGGAGGAGGAGGAGGAGAGGAAGGAGGAGGAGAGGAAGGAGGAGGAGGAGGAGGAGGAGGAGGAGGAGGAGGAGGAGGAGGAGCGTGTGCTGGAGTAAGAGGCAGGACGTAGGAGGGTGTCAAACTGTTCTAGGAATTAGCAATCGGGCTCTAGGAGACTATATCCTCCTCTCCATTCCTCGCCCCCCGCCGCCCCACAACCCCCTCCTCCTCGCCCATCCTTCTCCTCATCCTCGAACATGTCCCGAGGGCGGCATCCCTTCCAGTCTCGAAGGTGATCTTCGGGTTCGCCGCGTCGGTGACGTCGAGGCTAGCGATGACCTCCACGCATCCCCCCTGTCCCTCCTCACTATGCTCTTCGAAACTTCCCCGCTTTCATAACCCTCCAGACCAAGCTCGCCGCTCTCCCCCTCCTCCTCGCACACCTCCTCCTCCACATCCTCGCCCTGCTCCACCACGTCCTGTCTCAAGGCTTGCGATGTTGCTTCCCGCGATGAAGCAGAGGCCTTTAAGCCCGAGCCATCGTGACCAGGAGTGCAGCCCTGGCTCGTGAGCGTTTTCTTATTCGGCGTTTCGACATTGTGCGGAAGGGGGGAAGGGGGGGTCTGGCTCCGGACCTCTGCTTAATGCGACTGTTTGCAGCAGTGCGTCCTATGGGGGAGGGACTCAACCTGCTCGAAACCGGCGCCCAAAACAGGCAAGATCCACTCCCTTGGGGAGGGGAGGGCGGGGGGTGCGAGGGCCCACGCCCGACCGGCAAAACAATGCATAAGAAAACGGTCACCTCAGAGAGCCAGCGCCGCCCATGAGCCAGTGGCTTGGGAGCTCGGCTAGTGTGGAGGGTAGGATCGCCCCGTCGGGGGCCCGGCCCAAAAGGACAGAACCTGGGGGAGCCCACACCCGCTTCGATGGGCGACCCCGCCACGTGCCCCTCCTGTCTCCCCCCTTGGCTTCTCTCCCGCGCTCCGTTGGCAGTGAGCCCCGCTCCTCGTCGCCGTCCTCCCCCTCGTCGCCGTCGTCTTCGTCCTCGCCTCCCTCCCCCCCCCGCCAGCACGACGGGGGGACCCGCCGCGCCCCGGTTCGGGAGGGATCTGCGCTCGGCCCGCCCACCGCGTGCCCGCCGCCGCCCCCTGGCCGCGAGGCGGGGACGTGTCCACATCCAGGGGGCCCACAAGAGGACGGACATACAGCGGTGGCCAGCCCACAAAAACCGTCCACAGACCCAACCCTGAGACCCCAGGACGTCCATGAATTCTTGGCATGGGGGCGTCACGCGTTCCATCAGAGTGAGGGGGCCGAACGGTCATTCATTGTCCCTGGGTGCGTGGCTCTACTGGGGATCCGTGGTGAGGATTATGCTTGTTGCGATGTTGTAGTTGCTGTAGTTGTAGTTGTAATTGTAGTAAGTGTTGTTGTTGTTGCTGCTGCTGCTGCTGTTGTTGTTGCTGGTGTTGTTGTTGTTGATGTTGTTGTTGTTGGTGTTGTTGTTGTTGTTGATGTTGTTGTTGCTGCTGTTGTTGTTGTTGGTGTTGTTATTGTTGTTGTTGTTGATGTTGTTGTTGTTGGTGGTGGTGTTGTTGTTGTTGTTGATGTTGTTGTTGCTGCTGATGCTGTTGTTGTTGTTGTTGTTGCTGTTGTTTTTGTTTTTGTTGTTGTTGTTGTTGTTGTTGTTGTTGTTGTTCGTCGTCCCCCCTGCGATCCACCCCGCGACCCAGCCCGCGACCCACCCCGCGACCCAGCCCGCGACCCAGCCCGCGACCCACCCGCGACCCACCCGCGACCCCTCCCGTGGCCCAACCGCGACCCACCCTGCGACCCACCCCGTGACCCACCCGCGACCCAGCCCGCGACCCAACCCGCGACCCAGCCCGCGACCCAGCCCGCGACCCAGCCCGCGACCCACCCGCGACCAACCCCGCGACCCACCCGCGACCCACCCGCGACCCACCCGCGACCCACCCGTGACCCACCCACCCTGGGACCCACCCCGCGACCCACCAGCGGTCGGGCTTCTTCAGAGCCTCGCAGACTGACGACGTCATCGCCGCCCCCTCACTCTTATCCGCAACTGCGGGGCGCGACGTAGAACAACCAACGAAACCCAAGAAACCCTGGGGCACCCTGGAGGCAAGCAGGGTGTTTCTTGGCATGGGTCTCCATCTGCACGCGTCTACCCACATACATGAACACGGCCCTCCAATCCGCGAGACCACCCGCGGTACGAATGTTCTCGCAATGCGCTCTCTCGAAACCAGCGTGGATCCAAGTACGCGAAGGTCCTTGCTTCGCTCCAGAATATCCACCACGGGCTCAACCGACGGCCCGAGCCACCCTACAAGCGGTGGATATTAATATGCGATGTACGCAGCACTCTGCAGCTGGGGGTAAGTGTGAGGGGGCGGTCGCGGTGTGGGTCGCAGGTGGGTGGGTCGCGGGAGGGCCGCAGGCGAGGACGACAAAAGCATCAACAACAACAATTCGCCGGCCCAACGGGCCAGAGGCGTGCTAAGATCTTAACTACTGAACAATATTTCTAGTTCGCGCGCCGGGGCGGCCCCTTGGGGGCCCCGGACGAAAAGTACCCCGGCCGATCCCCGGGATACGCTCGCGACGACGCGTACGCGTCGTCGCATACGCTCGGCATACGATCAAGGTTTCTGAATGATTTCGGCATACGCTCGCGACGACGCGCGCGTGTGCAATTCGTCCCGTTTGTTTCAAGGGATACTTGCGACAGCAGCACGCTCGCGAAGGGCGTTCGAGCGATTTCGACATGCGCGCGCGAGCGGCCCACTTAGTAGCATGTTATGACAATATTGCCCAATAGGTATGTGGTTCTCTTGAGATTACGCAAGCGCGCAAACGCCGGCTTCCCTTGAACATTCCTGTTGCGAAACAGTACTTTCTGCAGAGGATGAGAAGGGTGATGCCAGTGTAGCTGGGATGATATAAGTGAGTTCGCATTTAGGATGGACGATGGGGCTGAATCGCGTGTACATTACAAGACGGAAAGGGAGCTAATTTCCAAGGGGGGGAGATCCTAATGTTCTTTTATACGTACGAGTATATGCGAAGCCATCTACGTTGTGCAATTTAGGCGGCGACAGGGTGGCGACGGCGACAACGTATCCGCCAGTCTGACAGTAGGCTCATACGACGGGCGGCGACGAAGCGACCACGGCGACAACACAGCCGCCATATCTGAAGGGGCCCCAGGACACACAAATAAAAACACACACAAATAAACATGTTCCCTATATTTCCCCATATGTTCTGGGTTCTTGTCCCCCCCCCACCTCCTATATTTTCCAATATTTTCATGGGAATCGACGATTAATTGTGTCTGTGTGTTTTTTCCTCTCCTGATTACCGACAATCAGGTCCAGACAACGGGCGGCGACGAGGCGGCGACAGCGACAACATAGCCGCCGGACCGACGGTCAGGCCCAATTGCCCTCAAAATGAAGAAGAACCCCTAAGTGCCTAAGTGCAAGCACTGCTCAGGGAATTGCTAGCACAAAGCACCCAACCAGCTGATGGCTAATCCAACGGAAAGCCAAACCCTGGATCGGACCGGGGAGAACCACAGAGACCAGACGGCAGGAACACAAGGTCGCGTCGGTGTCAGAAACTAGGACGAAGCCGTGACACAGTCGAGTGAGTCTGATCCAAACGCGCCTGGACATACCACACCTCGTCCAACTGCAAGCATAACGTCCATGTCGTGTCGCTTCATGCGTTCAACTGCAAGCATAACATCTCGTATGGATACCATGTCGCTGCATGCGTTCATCTGCAAGCGTAGCGTCATGCAAAAGTATCATCAGGGCCGCCATTATCGCGGAAATGCCCCCACAACTGCACCGACCAGGCCATGACGGTCAGCCAGACCAATGCGACACCCGAACAAACCCCATTCACATGTCCAACTGGATTTCCCTCTTAACCAGAAAGATGGGACTTTGTTCTCAGTCGTGCCATCTTCAGCAACAATCTTCACCTCGTCGCCCTCGGCGAAACCGTCTGCTGCCCACACCTGCTCAAGTCAAACGAACATGACCACTTCGAAAAAGCGACGAGGATCTCAGATGATCAATTCATGCGGCTCGTCAGGCCAACCCCTCCCTCCCGCCTCTCATCATGGCAATGCAATTGTGCATCCCTACATTACACTCCTGCAGGTCAGCATAGAAACGACCCTGGGGAACAAACAACTATACACACATATGTATATGTATATGTGTATGTATAGACATGTATGTGTATATAGATGTGCACAGTCAACAACACACATTAACATAGTGAGTGTATAGAGAGAGAAAGGGAACTACCACGAGAGAAAGAGAGCGAGAGAGAGGAATAACGAGAGAGAGAGAGAGAGAAGAAATGAACTTAATGCACACATGCGTATGCCATTTTACCATCGCCCCGACCAAATGCATGTATGACACGATCGCAAAAAAACAACATATTACCAACGAGACCGCCTCCCGGTACGGAGGCGGGATGGGCCGCACGCCGCCAGATCCGACGCCCCCTGTTGATTCATCGCAAAGGTGCCCGGCGTGCTAGACCCTTTCGCTTTTGGTTTTTGTTCTTGTCCAATATCACTCCCCCTGGAGTTTCGGCCCGTCCCGCCGGACATGCGTAACAGGTGGTTGCGAAGGGTTTTTCGGATGGCCTCCAAGATGGTCAAGGTGGCCCAAGATGGCCACCATGTTCGTCCAAGATGGTCCAAGATGGCCTCGAAGACGGCCTAAGAGAGTCCAAGATGCCCCAAAGTTCGCACAAGAAACACCTACGACGGCCCAAGACGGCGCAAGAGGCCTCCAGGGCCTCCAAGACGGCCCATCGGCCTCGAAGAGTTCCTCCAGGCGCGCGGCCTCCTGGGCGACGTCGTACGGCGCGAGCGTGAGCTCCTCAGCCTCCATGGGCATGCCGTGGCACTCTGCCCCGCGCTTGGCCCACGTGTCGGCGGCTGCGTCGCCGGCGCGCTCCCAGTGGGTTGTCCTCCCCGCATCGACGTCGGCGCGCGTGGCGTGGGCGAGGACCTTCGTGACTGCGAAGTATCCGATCTCAAAGGAGCCCCAAAATGGCCCCCACAGGTGGGCCCGCTCGTCTCCTGAGGAGCCCCCTGGCCCGCGCCTCAGGGCGAAGCGGTCGAGGTGCCCCATCGCCACCTGCGGGAACGAGAAGATGGCGAAATCCTCGCCGTCGCGGCTGAGCTGCCTGGGGCACATTGCCAGCAGCCGAGGGCCATAAGCAGCAGCTTCAGGTACGCCCCAACGATTGCACTGAACCACCGCCCGCCCAGCCCGGCTGATGCCTGGAGGGTGCCCTGCGAAGGCGGAGCCGTCCGTGAACAGCATGCCCTCGAGGCGACCCGAGCTGGGCCGATTCCACCAATGGATCTCGAACAGCTGGCAGCCGATGTCGCTCCAGAGGTGCTGGGGGTCCAAGAAGATCCCGCGCGCGAGTCGCTCGGCGACCACGGGTCCCTCGCGCTGCGCCCGCCCGCCGGGCCCTCGCGACCAGAAATGGGGATGCAGCGGTCCGCCTGCGGCTGGGATGGGCATCGCACTCGTACACCCTGTGGACCCTGTTGAAGATCGTGCTGGCCTCTGCCCGACACAACTTGCACGGCCTGCACGCTGCGAGACAATGGCGCCGGAGCCGCTCCTGGCACCAGTGCGTGTTGCCCGCAAGGGCCCGGAGGGAATTCTGCTGCCGCTTCGTCCAATTGCGCGCCGAGCCCCGCAGCAGCGGCCGCAGGGCCAGCCAGCTGATCGGCTGCACTGCACCCAGCGGCGGGCGTCACGCACCCCCCTCGGCCTCGCTCGCCAGCGCCATGCAGCCCGAAGCACGCCACGCGGCCTCTTGGGCTATAGCCGGGCCACCAGCCCCGGGGCCGTGCGCAGCGGGTCCCAGCGGGCGCCCGCGTCGGTGACCACCACGGCCTCGCCCTCGAAGCGCCGCACCGCACCGGCCCAGCGCTCAGCGAGGCCACGCCCGCGGGGGAGAGATGGCCTGCGGCCACGGGTGCCGCAGGTGGCCCAGGCGCGCCGGGGCGTCCCGCAGGCGCGCTCGGAGGACTCCGCGCGGCGGCAGGCCCTCCCAGGCAGCGCGAGCCCACTGCTGCGCCGCGGCCCCCGCGGTGACGGCCATCGGGGGTGCTCAGGAGGCCTCCAAGACGGCCCTGGAGCACCCCAGGAAGGCCCCAAGGCGGCCCAGAGAGGCCCCCCAAGACGGCTTCCGACGGCGTCATACGGGCCAGGGGACCAAGATGGCTCTAAGATGGCCTAAGAAGCCTCCAAGAGAGCCCCCAGGAAGGCCCGAAGAGGCCCAAATCATTGATTTCCCTGAGATGTTTGAAGGATTTTGGCATTTGCTTCTTTTCGGCCTCCCGACGGCCCGAGACGGCCCAAGAGCCCCCAAAGATCGCCCAAGAAGCCTCCAAGATGGCCACCGAACGGCCCAAGAGGCCCCCAAGACGGCACCAAGAGGGCCCAACGACGGCCCAAGAGGCCTCCAAGACGCCCGAGACAGTTTCCAAGACAGCCCCAGAGCATTCCCCCCAGAAGGCCCCAAGTCAGCCCAAAGAGGCCATCAAGACGGCTTCCGACCGCGTCGGACGGGCCAGAGAGGCCCCCAAGACGGCCGAAGATGGCCCTAAGATGGCCCAGCGCGGCCCAAGAGGCCTCCAAGAGAGCCCCCAGGAATGCCCAAATAGGCCAAAATCATTGAGTTGCCTTAGGTGCTTGAAGGATTTAGGCATTCGCTTATTTTCGGCCTTCCGACGGCCCGAGACGGCCCAAGAGACCCCAAAGATCGCCCCAAGATCGCCCAGGAGGCCTCCAGCCCAGGGCAGCCCAAGAGGCCCCCAAGACGGGCCCAAGAGGGCCCCAAGACGGCCCAAGAAGCATCCAGGACGCCAACGATGGCCTCCAAGACGGCCCTGGAGCACCCCAAGAGGGCCCCAAGTCGGCCCAGAATGGCCCCCAAGACGGTTTCCGACGGCGCCAGACTGGCTAGGAGCCCACCAAGATGGCCAAAGAGGCCCCCGAGAAGCCCCCAAGAGGCCTCCAAGAGAGCACCCAAAATGCCTCCCAGAGGCTCCCGGGAAGCTCCCAGGAGGCTCCAAGAGTGTCCCCAGAGGCTCCCGGGAAGCTCCCAGGAGGCTCCAAGAGTGTCCCCAGAGGCTTCCAAGACGCCCCCTTCTCCTCCTCCTCCTCCTCCTCCTCCTCCTCCTCCTCCTCCACCTTCTCCTCCTCCACTTCCTCCTCCACCTCCTCCTCCGCCTCCTCCTGATCTTCCCCACCATCATCCCCCACGTGTTCCCCGAAGGGTTTCCACAACGGCTTCGGGAACACATGGTCCGATAGCTCCGCCACGACGCTCGGCCACATGGGCGATTCTAGAAGGCAGGGGGCGGCGGTGATTCGTCGTAGGCGTCTTCGATAGGCATAGACGATGTCATCGATTTTTCTGTCTATGTGATGCGTGTATGTTTGCATCAACGTATCTGCCACCGTGCCGCTGCGCACGGAGTGGGCGTGTCCTCAGGACCTCTGCTTCATCCCTTAAGCCCCCCTGAGGAGTCTTTAGATAGCCTGGAACCTAAATTGCCAAGTCGTCTTGGGTTTCCGCCTGACCCCTGAGGCTTCTCTGGGCTTCTCCTTTTTGCGGGCACAGGAGGGGCTAGTCGGGCCAAGCGAGCCCCAAGAGGCCCCCAAGACGGTCCAAGGGGCCCCGAGTCACCGAACGATCGCACCAAAATGCCCAAGATGTTTCCGAGACGGTCCAAGAGGCATCCCCGACGCCCCAAGAGAGCGCCAAGAGCCTTCCCAAGAGTGTCCGAAGCATGTATTTCGTGTCCCTGATTTGGGGGCCCTCGACGACGTTTCGAGCTCCCGACGTTCCAAAACGGCCCCAGAGGCCCCCAACCCCAAGACGTCCCAAGAGGCCCCCAGGAAGGCCCCGACGCGGCCCATAAGGGCTCCGGGACGGCCCGATGGGTCCCTAAGACGGCCCAAGACGGCCCAAAGACAGCCCCAAGAGGGGGAACACGAACCAAAAATCCAAGTCTCCCGCCCGAAGAGGCCCCCAGGAGGCTCCAAGAGGACCCAAAAGGCCCCGAAGAATCCCCTAGAGACCCCCAAGAGGCCTCCGAGAGGCCACGAAAACGCCCCAAGAAGCCACAACACGGCCCCCACGAAACATCAAAACGGCCCCCTAGAAGCTCCCGAAAGGCCTCCCGCGACATCCCAACGAAGATCCGTGAGGCCATGACCCACAACCCAGGCAAGGTCGCGAAATGGGCCGAAGGTATTTCGAAGCTGTGGAGAGACAGAGAGGAGGAGAGAGAGGGTGGGGGAGAAAGAGAGAGAGAGAGAGAGAGAGAGAGCGAGAAAGAAAAGGAGAGAGAGAGAGAGAGACAAACATTCATTCACAAGTCACACGTTGCAGTGATGCAACAGAGGCGCACACGCAAAGGCACACACCGATTCACAAACGAAGACAATACACGCCATGTCTAACGCCACGATCATACCGTTATGCAATGCTGGTCAACAATAAAAGCGCATGGCGCCACCAAGATGGTGGTGCTGCCCTGGCTCGTCTCCCCGTTGGTTGTAGTAGAGAACGCGAAGGTCTGGCAGTGAAGCGCAGAAACAAATCAACGGTCGTGCGGGCAATGCGGGCAACCGTAACCAGGCCGCACACCCGTGCAACAGCGAAGGGAGGAGGAGGCGGAGGGAAAGGAGACAGAGCATGAACATGATGACGAGAGAGAGAGCAGGAAGTAGGAGGGGATGAGCGAAGGGAGGCAGCAGAGGAGGATGGGGAAAGGGGGAGGAACAGGAGGGGGGAGGATGGACACGGAAAAGGACGACCATCGCGGAATCAAATCCGAAGGCATTCGAAAGGAAATATTCTCCTCATTTACCTCGTCCTCTTCCCTCCTCCGGGCCTCCTCCTCCGGTCCTTCTGTCTGACTGATCGTTAGGGCTCAACCTCTTCCAAACTTTGAACTAAAGCCGTGCACCGTGGTAGATCTCCTCAGTCGGCGGTGGTCAGGCCTCCCTTTAGTAGACCTCCCCTTAGTGAAAACTGCCTAGGACCGAAACCGACGGAACTGGACCCGCAAACATGACGGCCGCGACGCCCTCTCGCGAACCGAAAACGGCCAAATCCTTAATCGACGCGTCGGGGCAGGAGTTCTGTCAACCTCCGAGATCCTGTCTCTGTCACCTGTCTGGATCCGCAGCTCGCCCCAGTTCTGCACTGCAAGACCCGGCGCTCGGACTGACCCCCGTCTGCACTGGCCCCCGTCTCCTGCGCCCCGAGGTCCATCCCGGATCTGTGCGGGGGCCCGCTCTGGGCCACGAGTGAGCATCCACGAGCGCATCCTCGGAAGGCTTGGCAGACCTCGGGCCTAATGAGAAATGTCCTGGAGGAGGAGGAGGAGGAGGAGGAGGAGGAGGAGGAGGAGGAGGAGGAGGAGGAGGAGGAGGAGGAGGAGGAGGGGGAGGAGGAGGAGAAGGAGGAGGACTGGGCCTTCCCCCAAGATGCCAAGAACTCTTCGGAAGACCGCGGAGCCTCTGGGAGGCCCCACCGCCTTCCGAGAGGGCCCGCCCCCTCTCGCTTCCCCCAGGGCGCGCCGCCGAGGTATTGTTTGACAGTCCCAGCGGCCTCCTGCGACCTCGGCCTCGAAAGGCGGTTGTCGAGCCCCGGGACCATCAAACATGGATCCCAGACGAAAAGTTTTCACGGCGAAGGATCCAGCCAGATGCAACTGTCAGTACCGCAAGGCAGGTGGGACGAAGGAGGGGAAACCCCTTATGGCACCACGGGACATGTCAGGGGCTTAGGGGGCCCCGGAAACGGCAGGGCCGTTTGTTCACCGTTTCCAAAAAATATCCCTTGAAAATGGAAACAGCAACAAAAACGGCGACCGGAAACGGCAACAAAAACGGCTCCAGGATTGGAACCAGAGCGGGAACCCGTAAAAGAACGGCGACGGA